GGTCTGTTTTCTGTGACTGAATTAATACCTATACACTTTTGAAAAGTGATATAAGTACTCTCTAAATCTGAATCACTGATGTCAAGTATGCCATTGATAATCAGTGAATTAAATGTGAGATTCCTAACCTAGCTAATCTTTATTATGTGATCTAATCTTGTTTTGTGCTTAAATTCAATGAATATAATATTGAAAGATTGAAATTAACATGCAAATATCAATATTTTAGTTATACAATGCTCAAACATTCTTCCTTTTTTAGTTGAACTTCACTGATCTTCAGTGCCAAGTATGCCACTGAGTAATTAGTGGCTATTCACTGATTCAGATTTAGAGAGTATATATTTGATATTTGACGAAAGCGAGAAAGAGTTCTAGTGCAGTCTAGTGCAGGAATAAAAAACAGATCTATAATAAAATATTACACGTACCTGAATCGCAGGTTTTTCTTGCGGCATGTCTTAACGGTGCCTTCGCGTCTATTTCTGCAGGATCGGTAGATTCATGTCGCCTAGGCGTCCTAGACAAAGGCTCCAATTGAATATTCTCGCTGCTATCCTTTCCTGGACTTCCTTTCGGCATTTTATTTTCACTTTTCTATTTTCTCTTCTACTCCGGCCGATCTTTTATTCGGCAAAATCGGAGTTTCGCGCGGAAGAAATTTTTTTCTTTGTTTCTGAAGCGCTTTGCTTGTCAAGTGACATACTTCGAATTTGTTGCTGATTGACGTTTTGCTAATTATCGCTACTTTATATCGCTACTTTATACTCGAAAAATAAATGTCGAAGCCACAGACCTTCTATCATCTTCAGGCATTCTCACGACATCTCACGATGGTATCGATCGTCCTTTTCCTGTACTGGACGTAATGTTCATGTCGAAAATTATATCGAGCTACTCTTTTGGTAGTCTCAGTTAAGTTTATACATCGGCGTAGTACATCTGTATATGCACAAATATTTTATGTCGACAGCATTCGCATTGGTCCCGATATTACGATATGTTGCGCATAAACATTCAGTTTTATTTGATCGCAGAAAAAGATATTGTATAAAAATGGTCGACAAATGTGATCCGTGATCAAACTGTTTTTTACGAGGTAGTGCACATCAATTAATAAAAAATTAATAGCATTTTACTACTTTCTTCGTACATAATTTCATGTTGACTCAAAGTAGAAAGATATAGGTACCCTAACGTCGCTGCTCGAAGGTTTTATCTTTTTTCTATAAATCGAACATGTGTCTTTGTATAATGCGAGGCTGAATAATTACAAGTTAAAGAAGTTTATGATGACATGTACTTTTATAAATTATAGACAGCAGTTAATCAGTCTTTTCTATTTTGTATTCTCCATGTCGTTGATCAACTTTAAATATGACGATATGTTTTTTTGTCAAAAGTTACTGGACGTCCAATCAATTTACATCTGCAATATTATTATAAGAATTATCTATTATAATTTTTTATTCAAGTATACTAAGATTGTGGTTTAAAAGAGATATTAATAGAGGTAGTAAGAGTTATTCTCGTCAAGCTTTACCGTTGGATCAATACTTTCAGAATGAAGATCTATTCATAATAAATAAGCCAGAAGTATAATAGGAAAAATATTCACAATAAAATATTTTATAAAATGTTTCTTTATAATTTTAAATTTTATCTATGTAGCCTTATTAAATAACATGTTTTTGTAAGTATCTCACTATAATTTTTAATTTTTTATTATGTTAGAACGATTTGTTCATTTATTGATTGTGTTTTTCCTTGCATAAATATCGGAGCATAATATCGCTTCTATAATCCGCAGCATTAAATGATATTTATATGAAATATTTACATGCTTAGCATTTAATCGCATAATGAGTAAAAACAGAACGTAATTATAACGCTTGTTGCGCGGTATGTGTGCAAATGAACAATGAGACTATGAGAACGAGTATCTGAAATTGTCAGTTGTTATCATAGATGGGAACGTACGGAACTATATCACTGTTCAAGGTCTATACAAAAGCAATTATAGATTATTATACTCTGACTTACAGCGATCATTATGAACGATATTTGCTCGTGCAATGATAATAGCTTTCATCCGACTTGTGCTCGCGATTTTTTGATAATTCGAAAATATTTTATTATTAAAAAAGTTAATTATTATAGGAAAAAATATATTTAGCGCGAAACGTTACGTTTCCTTAATGATGTTCTTCTATTTCTCTCACATACATATATTATCTTTGTAAATTTTTTAATTTAAAACTGAAAATTTAAACTAATTACTGCAACGTCAGATTAAATAAAATTAAGCATTTTACGCTTTTTCTACTATTTTACAGAATATTTATAAAAATAAGGAAATTAATGTTTTTAATTAATATAATATTTGAAAATATTGTATATTAATTTGCAATATTTGCACTCATTAACTTTCATGATTATATCTACATTACATTTAAACGTTTCATTAAAATTTTTTAATTTTCGTTACAAATTTGCAAGAAAGAAAAAATTGGAAAAGAAACAGAAATCTATTTTATAAAATTTAATAAGAAAATAAGAATTGAAAGAAATAAATTGATGTCAAATTGGAATTTTTATTTCAATTTTCGTATACACAGCATCCAATATAAAATTGAAATTTTTATTTCAATTTTATTGGATGCTGCGTGCACAAATACACAATCATGCATGTGTATGTGCATTGAAGAACATGTATATATAAAGAGCACCTCGTAATAGAACATTGACCCTACTCGATCATTTAACAAGAGATATGGTTGAATGAAAATGCTGATGAGCGAAATACTAATATCTAATATGAATAAAGGAGAAATACGAGCAATTCGAAGTTTAAGATAACGTTTTACTTATTGATGAATTATTCCTCTATATAATTATTGAGTTTACATAACATTACGTATTTTATATTTATCGCGTGCAATTGTGAGAAATTGTCATTAGATTATACTTAAACTATAGAAAATGGAGGTACTCACATTTCTCTGATCGCACTCAACGTTCGTATTAATATATCCGATATTTGTTTCTTAAAAGAATAACCCTCGTCGTCGATCGCTAATCACAGACAGTTGTTAATCGCGCATCCTTCATTAATAAAAACGTAGTTCTCATTTACTCGTGGTCCAGCTGTTCTCTCCTTTCTCGACAGAGTCTGCACATTTTTAACACCTCCGTTTGTAGTATGCACATGGATGATATATTAAGCTTACAATCGCCGCATCGTCAGAACTAAAGTTTCACCCCGACGCGACAGCTCGGTAAGCCGGCACGTTCATGGTCACCCCCGAAGGGTTGCGTCGCGGCGTTCCGTGCGCGATTTGTCCCTCGTTGCATCAACGATATATCTGCATCCAACGCTCATTGCCGTAGCCGCCGACGACAATCCGCAGGTCGTGCAAGGCGGGCCGGGGTTTTCCTCGGCAAAAGGCTGACGATGCAAACAGCCGCACGGTAAGAATGGCACTGAGCAGAAGCGCTTTGAGGATTGAGAGCGTGGCTGAATTTCCGGAGGGAGGCGCGCCGGTCAGGATCAGCTACAGGTTGCGCCCGTCTCGTTCACGCAGGCCAGGCATCTTGGTTGATCGTCGGGCATCAAGGGTAGTAGTGGTGGTGGCGTATGCACCCGAACGGGGGAGAAAGTTGGCGAGAAAGAGGGAGAGAAACGAGAGAAATCGATTTACTTAACATCTAGGACTCTTTGGCCCTTTCACAATTGTGACCCAGGATTTGGCTCGCTGGCGATTGTGTGATATTTTATTAATCACTATCGCGACCGAACTCGCAAGTTGATTTTAATTGACGTGCGGTATAAATGAGCGATATCAATGTGGCTTTTGTACATTATTGCATTTTAATTAAAAATTTAAATTAATTTGGGACTAGCTTTCATAAAAATATTGGTAACAGCGTTAGGAATTTATAATTAAATTGTTCGAATATATTATTACTAGAATTAAATTACATATTAAAAAGACAAAATAAAGGACTACGAGCCAAGCACTACTTTATCATATTTTATTAATTATTTTTTAAATTAATTGACACTTTTATTTATTATAGTTAAATTGCATGTCTTCAGCAATCCCTAAGGATTTCTAAGAGTGTACTGCGTAAAATGTTCCTATATGCGCAATTTTCATGCAGCTTTTGGCTGTCATTCTAATCTAGGTCTTTATTTAGATTCACAAAATTTTTTTCGTAGAATAATTTTTATCGCACATTATTTATTAATTATCTTAAGTATTAAGTACACCTTTCAAGTAGAAGTGCTTTTTGTGATGAAATACAGACACTTAGTATCTTTCTTTTTATCTCTTTTCTTTGAGTTAGTATCTACATAGTACTGCATACTGCAGCTGGTAACGTCGTATACATTTTGAGGCTCCCACAAGATGGAGGACAGCTGATATAAAAATATTTATCTCTTGCTGATATATGAAACTTTTACGATTTCTTCTGAGAGATGATACAATTTTTCTTTTATACAAAAGAGAGGTAGCGTTGATTACATAATACGCTATTATTAGACGCCCTATAAAGTAAACAACCTTTTGCGCAATCTTTGTAAAGTGGAATATGATTTGTGAACAATTTTAAAATTATAACTTAATTTTCTTTCTTTCTTTATCTCTCTTTCGATAGAGATTTTCTTATTTTTTTATTATTATAATTACATATATGATTATTTATATATGTATGTACTAATAATTTATTAACTAATTTATTAACTGTTTTTTTAAATTTAATAATGGATATTTGAAATAATTTAATTTTAAATTTAAATAAGAAGAAATAAATAAAGTGCTAAAATATCCATTATATCAAATAGGTTTTTCTGATTCTAACTTCAAACTTCTCACGTAAGTATATATCAAATAGGTTTTTCTGATTCTAACTTCAAACTTCTCACGTAAGTATAAGTAGGTATAAGAGATAAGATAGCTTTGATAAAGATACAGCTGTTTAACAGTCTGAAAACTTATTCGCGCGACGATGTCATAAAGCTCGTCTTTTACGAAAGTATCTGGTAGTAATTTCTTAAGACAAGATGCAGGTAAGTGCTGATGACGTAGCCTGAGATTTTTATCATATCCTTTTCTCGTAGTATTCATAATTAGTGCAATTGCAACAGTCGAACACTTTTTACAGATGTCATTTCATGGCGGCGTCGCAGAAACTATTCTGTTTGAAAAATGGCGCATAAATAACGCTCAAGGAATGATTGGTTCCGTAATCGGCGTCATTCTTCTAACTGCATTGTATGAAGGACTAAAATCTTATCGGTGAGTAAATATTTATTAAAACATGAAAAAGATGTAAGCTGTCAGTCGAGCTGTAATCGTACGTTTCAGTGAGTATCTCTTCGCGCGTACGACGTTTCTCAGGAAGAATCAGCAGAAGAAATCAAGAAAGTATGTGTGAATAATACTTATGATTTCCGTAAAGTGCTCACAATATTTTATTACGGTGTTTATTATTACAGTGCATTGTTGTTTTCCGGAGTGCATTTCTTTCAAACGCTTCTGCACGTAATCCAAATAGTGCTTGGCTATTTTCTTATGTTTATTTTTATGACATACAACTATTGGCTCTGCATCGCTGTCGGAACTGGAACAGCTCTTGGATATTGGTTGTTCCAATGGGAAAAAGCTACTAATGACAATACAGATTGTTGTTCGTAAATATATTTTTAAATAATAAAGTTGATAATTTTTTAATCATATGTAAGATACTTTAATAACTAATTATTCTACTAAATAACTATTAAATAACTTAATAATTTATTTTATTAAAATAAGCAGTTAATAATTTATTAGATAGAAAAACCATTAATTTGATCCAACTATCTTTTTTTTTCATATCTCTAAATATTTATTTATCGTAAGTAAATATTCCGCTAAGACTAATCAAAGAAATATTTATTCAAATTTGATACATTTTTTCTCAGCAAATTTTGTTAAAAATTAATTATTTATATCCAGATACAAACAAATCCCGGATTAATTCCTTTACTTATTAATATTTCAATCATTCCTTTTTATATTCTCAGATACTGCTTCTTGACGGTTGTCTGGAAGCAGTATCTAATCTAATCTAATTTATTAAAGACACATTCATTGATTTTGATGATGGTAGTAGGTGTTTATCAGACAAGCAGACGTAAGTCAATTCGCAGAATACTTGTCGAATATTTTGTCACTCATCGAATAACTTAAGACCGTTTGACATCATGGCGGACAATCGGAGTAACGCAACAATTTGTTGCTCAAAATCGAATGGCAATCAATTTCTATCAGTCCGTCAGATTATTTTCGGATGGAATAGATTCAATTCCATATCTTGGTTGCTACTATTTGTGTTTTTCTGCATTTGGTGCATAACATATTTTTCTGCCTACAAACCAGAACCGGAAGAAGACGATAATCATGGTAATCATCATCACTGAAGCAAAAAATGGACCATAAAAAACAAAATAATTATTATTGAAAAATGGAAAAATGTAAGTATTTAAATTACGTTGTTATTATTTAATATAAAAACGTATTTGAAATAATTATAATGATATGAACATATCATAGAATTGATTTTTTCAAACTTCAATTTAAGTTCTAAAATCACTTGTGCACTTGTTATTTGTAATCAATTTTTATTGTAATCTTACACAATAAAAATAATCAATGATACGGCTTTCCAATATAATATACCTTATTTAAGGGGTTATACTCAGTTGGGATGCGGAAAATAAGATGATTTTCA